CTATTTGATGATTACTTTTCAACTTGGAGTGCATGACTTCAGTTTGCTGGTGTAGAGTTTTAATGTGTCATCTTGTTCCTTATTTACATACCGTGTCTGTGTCTCCAATTTTCATAGTCTTCTCTGATCATAATTGATCTAGGCTAGTTCGCATATTTTCTCCAGTACCTCACTGCTCATAGTCTCCTCTGCTTCCACATAATAAATACACTAAGCAACCCTGTAGCTGGTATCAGACTTTCTAAATCTCTATACTTATCCTTATGATATGATGAAAGTGGGCTATTTATTTTCTCCATATTCCTTTTGTCATGGAACACATGACAACGATCTGTCTCCCTGTACTTTGATAGTCTCTTGTGAGACTTCAAAATGGTATAAATAAACCAGTTCTTCATCTAGTGCTTCAGCATACTGAAAGAATTTTAGATAGGAAGACCATTTTTCTTTTAATGGCCCTGCTGTTTACACTTAGTCATGTGATTTGCTAGATATTTCAGACTGTAGATTTATGTGCTATCAACTGAAGGAATTACTTGTCTAATCTCAGGAAACTGAAGTCTACCTAAATATAAATCTGACTTACTATTTTGCAGTCCGTTTGAATAGTACTCTTGCTTAATGAGAGTGTGCATGTTTTTGTTAATAGTTCAGCTATTTCACTGCTAAATTCCTTCCATTAACTCATGATGGATGTTCTGTTTTATTTAGAAGAATGAGCATTGCATTAATTAGGCAAACTTCACTAAATTTGGAGCTCAGTCAACTAGAACTATAATTATATGGAGAGGAAACTTCCTAATCTGACATTTGTAGAACTGAGCCCTTTTGGAATCAGTTATTATCTTATGCAACATGACCAACCCAGCCTTTGTATTGAACAGAGGCAGACCCTGGGAGGAGTGCCTTCAGCTAGGAGAAGTGTTATTTTCTATTATAATTTAATTGTTTTATAGCCTTTTTCCACCACAATGAGACATCTGCTCTCTCTGTATCCAGAGCAATAATAGATCAGACTGGTTGAGGTGGTAGTAAGCAGTGTATACTCCTCTAAACTATTATCTCATTGTTTAGAGTTACTTTATTACTTTTCAAAAGACACCTTCTGCAGTTTAATTCTAGGAAGACTATCCTCATGTCCTTTAAGGCAAAATTTATGGATCTTAGCATGGTTATGAAAGGGAAAAAACCCCATACTCTATTATGAATGGAAAATTATTTCTCTTTGTGACTTCAGACTGAATGGTTTGTATCAACATCAGGACGGGGCAAGTACAGCTGCCTATCCATTGTAGTCTGTTTTCTCTATAGCAGCACCACGTGTGACGCTCGTGCAGAGTCCAGTGATCTTTGAATACTTGCTGTTTCTTCCTGCTTTAGATTTCAGCTGATGCCTTGCTGGTAATGCAGTGCATTTTACGATGGAGGAAGACAGCTATGACAACATCAGTGCCTGTTCTGGTTAGGTTGTGGACCTCAGCAGATACAGAAGAATTCGGCGGAAGCTGTTAGTTAGGAACAAATGAAGAATGATGTCCTCGCCACATAGTCCTCCCAGAAAGAAGCTGAGAGCAATTCATTAATTTTACTCTCTAACCCAACCTAGCGTAGCCCACAAATGGTTTTAAGTTGCACCTACCTCGTGACATGGGGCAGCCAAGGTGTTACATTAAGTGTATTGTCCTTTGTGTTGCCTTATGTCCAGCTCTACCCTCTAGTCTTGCAGGTGCAAGACTTCTGGGGATGAACTCTGCATTTTGGACTCTTCTCCCTCAATGCGCACAAGGAAGGAATTAGCTTGCTTTGTGCTGCCTGATTGACACTAAAGGAAGAAGACTGGGTAGACAGTCTTGCAAAATACTGACTTGTTATCTCTTGACCTTTTGGAAATGTGTTTGGCCAAAAAGGTTTAAAAAAGAAAGATTGTTCTTCTGAGTCTTCCTCAAGGAAGAAGTGCTGGTGTGCAGTTTGGATTAGTTACCATATGTTTAAGAAGAAAAGGGAAAAAGAAAAAATTGTTTGAAATAGCCTACTTATGAATAAGAAAGAAGAAAAATGAATAATTTATTATGGGTTGGGATACAAATGCTATCCTTAGGAGATCATGGCAAGAAATAGTTGAGCTCTCACATGGAGTCTAGAAAATATAACCATAGTCATCTGCATCTTGGAAACAGGCACCCATCACTGCTCAGGGAAGAGGCATGTGTGAGCAGAAGGGGCTTTGCTCAGTAGTGTTTTGTTGGACATCTGCGGGTCTAGGAAAGGTAGACAAAAAAGTGAGAGAAAGGGGCAAAAAGGCAGCCGGAGGGAGAGCTTGAACAAGCTATTGGAGTGTGGCCCAGACAAAAGCTCCAAGTATGTACTTAAGCCTTTAATTGACTCTTAGGGGCAAAAAATGCTGAGCAAGTCTGTTTTGCTCTATTGGACTGCATTTATTTCTGTGGCTGCAAACAACGCTGGAGGATCTTATGTGACACAGGTGGTCAGTCAATGCCTGTTGGGGACTACTGGTTTAGGTGAGACTTCTATATACGGGGTTGAGGGCTCCCTTTTAACACTGTGAGGATGAAAGCAAATTTCTTGTCTGTATTTGGTGAAGTCGTATTGATCAGTTGCTACGGGATGCATTAAGAAACCATGGACACTTTTGATCAATTCCGGAGAGAGGTCTCTTCCAGCAGTTCTGGCCTTTCTGTTCTCCATCTCTTTCTGGATGCATCTATTGGATTCCTCAGATGGCAAAAATAATCATGGGCTTTTGCATTTCTGTGGCCCTTCTTTCATGGTTCTGTGCAGAGAACTCCATGAAAAAGGTTTTTTAAATTTATATATTTGAAGATATTTTCTGGAGGGCTGGAAAGCAGATATTCTCGTGCCCAACATATTGCTGTCCTCTCTTGTGGACACTTGAAGGTACTTCTGAGATCTAGAGAACGGTGGTTGATTGTACAGAGGTGTCTGAACTTTTTTTCTGGGGTTGGGGGCAACAACGACACACCAGTCCATTCCCATGCAATGGATTCTTCTCACCCCATGCCAATTGTAGAATATGAGAGCTTACTGATGTGGTTATGGTTGTGTTTAAGTTAGAAGGTTTTTATTTTTTGAAACTGTTACAAGAGGAGCTTTCAGGATTTCCCAAGGCTGTGTATCCCAATTTGTTCAAACACCTTGTGTGTTTCAAAATTTTATCAATGTGGTTTAAATAAAGGAACAGAAATTACTTTGAGTGCCATAGCAGTATAACACATTCCAACTTTGTTAAAAATACCTTGTCAGCTAATACTGAAATTAGTCCTTGTGTCGTGGTCTGATTTGCATATTTTTGAAGTGATAAATTAGATAACTATCACATTATGCTTATGAGAAGGTGCAAAGTTAAGTGCATGCTGTAGCTCTACTCAAAGCAAATTCCACTTCAGCACAAGCAATGGAATTTGTCATTTGGCTGAAGGCATTAAACCTTACAGTACTTATGCACCACAGTGAATTCATTTCCTGAGAGTTATAGGTATGCCTGGTGGCCAATTTGTCAAAGGATATGTCTTTCAATTAATCTTGTGAAAGGTAGTGTGTCCCGATCTGTACTTGAATGTTTGTAACAAACACCACCAACTTTAGGCTTTCCGTATCTAGTTTAAATTAATCAAAACAGATGCATAGCTGTTTTTGAAGAAATTAGTTGATTACTTTGTCATAGAAACTGTTGTGTTTATTTTTTTTTATTTGGGGAAAGAAATCCCTGAAAATGGAGTTAAGCTTGCATGTAAGTATCAGTCATTTAGGTGCGTAAAAGAAATACAGTGGGGGTGATGGCTTTATTCAGTTATTGTTATGCTTGAGGGGAAAAAAAAAAATCTCTATGCATATAAAAATCATAAATAAATGAATGGAAACAACCAAGCAGGAACACTGTGCTGTAGAGATTCCATTGTGGATGAAAAGCACATTAAAAATAAATAAAATTGGCTTGTTAGGAGACTACTGTCATTAAATTGCTAATCATATAGTTACTGTACTGTTTTATAGAATACTGGTATGAACAGTGAAATGTGGCTACTTTCTTAATGTGTAGGAAGGTTTTATACACTCCATGAAAAATAAACAAACCCATGGTAATTTTTGCTTTCCTCCAGAAGCAAAGACCTCTGCCTAGTAAGGGCAACAGCGTAAGCTGGGATGGCCTAAGGAGGTCAAGGCTAACATGGGCAGTGGCTCACCACCTCTTCACCCTGCCTACCTTGTACAAGCCCATGAGTCACTCATCAATCAATTCTAAATTGCTGCTGTTTCAAGTGAATGGTATTTTAGGGTAAAGCACCATTGATTTTTATTTGGCTTTAAATGCTCCACTTTAAATGGTGACAATTGAGGAATCCATTAGCAGCTCATAGTGTGGGTCCCTACAGGGAGCGAGGAGAACATCTCGGGGCTGCGGCTTCATCAGTCAAGCCAAGCCAGGGCATCCCTGCTCTCAGGGACTAGGTAGCTCCATAATTGCAAAACTTTGAACGTTTCAGTAGTAAATGTTGGGAAATGCAAGGCATTACTGCAAGTACCGATTGCTTTATCTTGCACATGTTTTGTTTGGGGTTTTTTTTGACGCTTCTGTCCTAGAATTCCTGATAGCTTTTTGAAGCTGAATGTCTTCCTGCCTTTTTTTTTGTGTCAAACTACAATTGCTCATGTTTGGGTTAGGAAAGCAGATGAGAACGTGGCGTGGGTTTTTTGTGGTTTTTTGTGTGGGTTTTTTTCCCCTATCTTTAGTCTTCTTTTCTCCCCAGAAGCCAAACTGTGCCAGAGGACTGATGCTTTGAAAGAGAAGTGTGATCCTCTTGCATAGCTGCTATTCCTTGCTCACTTTGACTATTCTTTGTGCTGTTATCTTTGTAGTAACTTTGCTTTGCTACTGCTTGGGTTATTTTCTCATGCTCGTGATGCTTAAGAAAGGTGATGAAATAATAACTTGTAATAGAAATCCTTCTTTTTGCGCGTAGGAAACTCACAAATGGGTGCTACCATAGTAGATGCATTGGATACTCTTTATATCATGGGGCTTCATGATGAATTCAGAGAAGGACAAGAGTGGATTGACAAAAATCTTGATTTCAGCGTGGTGAGTAGAGCTTGCCCTAATATTTCTCTAGTCCTTTTCAGAGTGTTCCTCTTGGGGGGAGACAGAAGAGGTCTTTCAGCTGGAACTTAAAAAACTTAGGATTCAAAGTATCAGATGTAAGCTTTAGTTAAGTTCTCTGTGTTTGCAGCTTTATTTGGTGGGGGGGGGGGAACGAAAAACTACCCATACCCTTTCCCACTTTAATTACAAGTAAAGATACAGCTATATGTTGTATTTTCAAAGGACAAATTATAACTGGATAATGGAAGAAAGGGAGGGTGGTCAGTGAGAACCGACAGGGCATCAGAAATGAAGGCAGAAAGATGAGGCTTTACTAGCTGATAGTAGTTGGAAATAACTGAGCTGTGGAAGACAATTTCCCCCCAAACCATGGTGTGTAAATTACTGAACACAATCTCTTCTTCTTCCATGTGCTTAAGATGTTTTAACATGAAGAATGTCACTTGAGTCATCTTATTTTGCCTACAGGTTCTGAAGCTATCACAAGAATTTCCCAGTTGGTCATATAGTATCTGACATTCTTCATGTGTGCAGAGTTTGGAAGTGTTAAATGGAAGAAATGGCTCTTTAATACTTATTGATTAGTGTTCTTATTACTAATTTTAGCACTGCCACAGCCTCTGTGACGGAAATTTTATTTCAATCCTTGGACTTGCCCTACAGTTCCAAAAATAATTTTTCATTCAGTAATGCACAAAATGAAATGTAGGTGTATATAGTCAGAATTGAGCAGATGCTGACTGTTGTTTTTATATTATATCCTACATTTCAGACATTATTTAGTTTTTTCCTTTTGTTTTATACATTGACTGTCTGGCAAACATTAAAGAAATTCTACTCTGCTTTTTTCAGTTAGTGCCAGATAATGAATCAGTCTAAAACTGAAGACCCTAAATATATCGGAGACAGTGTAGACATAATGGTGCCATTATGAGGGTGAACTAAATTACTTCCATAACTTTTGTCTGATCTGAGGCAATCTCAATATAAATTTGCAGAATTAAACTAGGATTTGGGTGGAAGAAATCTACATGACCCACTGGGGTTCAATTACAGCTTCCTATGTATCAAAAAACATTTCTGAAGGTTAGTAAGTTGCCTTATATATACACACCAGACTTGAGTAATTTCCTTATATGTCTTGAAGTTTATAAATAAATAAGTACATAAATTTGTTCCTCTTGGATTCTATTACTGGGAAATAGAAATCATTGGTTTCATTCTACACTGTACCATTGCTTGTGTGATTCATGACTTTAATATGTATTAAGTGGAATCATATGCTACATTATTGATATTTTTCTTTTATCACCAGTATGTGAATAAAAATACATCTTTTACTAAAAACCTACATTTGGGAGTAGTTCAGACTTTAGACTTTTAATCATTAGTGGTATTTGAGGAAATCTTTAAAGGTTTCACATAATCTTTCTGAAATAAATAATACGTGCAAAATGCATTTATTTTGGATACAAGCAAGATGCATGATACAACCACAGGTGCCGTAGAAATAGTGTGAAAGAAAGACATACCTATAAATATAATTTCAACTCTGTGCTAATTGGTGGGACAACTTGTACAGTGTACATTGTAGTGATTTTTCTGGATAAAAAGAAAAGTCTCCCTTATCTCAAAATCTTTTAATAATAAAATACGTTTCTGTGGCTGATGGGTTGAATGAAGAGAAGTTTATGAGGGAGAGGCAGATGGGGTGTGTGCAGGCAAAGGAGTGAATGGGGCACAGAGGGAGGCAGAAAGATGTTAAAACTACCTAGTTCCTCTTAATTTTTCAGTGGGTTAAATGAGTCAAAAGATACTGGTGAATTTAGCCCAAGGATATTAATGTGGAGGAAGGCAGTAAAATGGTTTATTCTCTTGAGTTTCTCAGTGGTCTTGCAGTACTTGTTGTCGTAACATTAAATACATAAAGGCTATTCCTAGACAGAGACTATGTTAAACTGGAGCTCTGAATTTGCAATTGCACATTGGTAATTCAAGTTAAGAAAGCACATTACAGGAATTCTCTAATTATTATTCTAGTTTATCCTGTAAACCCAGAAGGTATGGTGTTATGCTTAAATGTAAGAGAAAAGATGCTGAATTATGGAAATGTACAGTCCTTGCCTTCTTTCCCACCATCCCCAAACAACTTTAATCATATTATCACCACAAAATGCAATTAGAGAGCAGGAGAAAAACTAATTTGATTTTTAAATATCAGTTGAAGCTATAACTAGAATTATCACTTGGTGTCGTGAAGATGTGCACAGGAATTTCAGTATGGATCTAGACACTGAAACAGTACAAACCCTTGCACGTGGATTGGTTTAGGGTATGTACTTGCCTCTGCCTTGGTGATTTTTTTTTTCTTCTTTGATTAGGGAGTTGGTTACTTATTTACACTTTCTTTCTGTTCTAGAATTCCGAAGTGTCTGTTTTTGAGGTCAATATTCGCTTCATTGGCGGTCTTCTAGCAGCATACTACCTTTCAGGACAAGAGGTAAGGAGACTGGAAGGTGTCTGTGAAATTTAATGTATTCTTGCAGATGTTGCATATGAAGAATTTTCTAGAATCTGGGTTTCTCAGTAGTTTTCAAAGTAATTTTACAGCAGTAAGTTGTCTAAAATAACCATATTCTTAGAGTATGGAATCTTTAAAGCTGGTTTCTGTACAGGTCTCAGCCAATTTAGGACTCTTTGTTAGAGCTTTGAAATGCTTCTTTTATTAAGGTGTTTTCAAAAGATATCCATTCAAGTAAACATCAGCCTGAAATGTCAAGTGACTAGCTTCTCATGCCAAAAATAACTTGGTTTGATATTCTGTAACTCCATGAAGGTAGAAATAATAGTATTGTCACTTGTCCTGCAAGGCCATAGGTTTGCTTCACAAAAGCACTACACAATCTTCTTACCATTTTCTCAGTGACAAACTGAGAAATGTCAAGCCAATTTTGTCCCACTTTTGAAACTTCTATTAAAAAAGATCGGAGACTTACACTTCTGAGCACTTATGCAAAGACATGCTTAGATTGAAAGGATGCATATACCCAAAGACTTGCAACCGTGGACTTCTTTGGTCTAGCAGTAACATTGCTGTGACCTCTTCACATACTTTAACAAGGCTGGAGCCTGACCCAACCTACAGATTAAGTCATAGCTCTTCTCGTGTCTTGTCAGCTACCTGTCTTTTGATCTATTGCCTCTGTCTTTGATTTGCTTGGTTTTACCCTGTATTTTTCATGGTCCTTCTGTAGCCCCATACCTAAAACAGTAGGCTTTCAGCCATACTTCATGGCTTGAGGTTTGATACACTTTCAGGTGTCCCTATGTATCTTCCCCCTTTTTTTTAGGGGAGCACTACATACATATCAACAAGTTCTCGAGGATTTTAAGCCTGCAGTCTTAAAAATAACCAGGAGAAAGCCCCGTATTTTTTGGCTCTTGAGGTCTTTGGCATCATCCTGGGATCTGTGAATTTTCTCTTGTAAGTGTGTCTTCTCTTTACAAGAAGAGCTTAGTGGCAAAGCAAAAATCCAGTGCGTATCTTGAAAGAAATTGCTAGTTTATTTTTCATCATGTACTACTGCTTCACCTTCTCCACTGTCTGGTCTCCAAGCCCCCTGTCTGAAGAGGGATCAGCTGCAAGCAGTCCTTTCGGCTACAGTGATTCATGTGTCCATTATAGGAGACCCAGAGGAAAGGAGAAACACATAATTTTGGCCCTCTCTTTCCTTTGTAGCAACTGAAGAGCTGGTCTTGCGTTCATGGCAGTGAGCCTTTCTCTGCCTCCAGAATCTGTCATGCTTAGATTTTCCATTGGTTTCCTCCGCAGCTCAGTAAGGATTTTACCCTGAGGGAGTGATCATATTCCCCAGTGTTACAAGTCAGCCTTTTAAATTGGTTGCTGTGGCACCTCTTCAGGAAGACGGCCTTTGTAGAAGCTATCACTTGTGTTAGAGTAGTGGTAAAATTCAAGCTCTGTTAGTTTACACTTTTGTCCTAACAAAAGACAACATAAAAATCATTGAATGATCAACCCAAATATTAACGTGAGGCAGCTTCTGAATTTCATCTAGGTCAGCATTATTACCTGACCAGTTTTCTTTTGAAGGCCCCCAGAACAGAAGCTTTCTTTTGCTGTCTGGCATAAGCAAGGAAAAATGCTTGTGTTTTTATTTCTGCAGCAAAGAAGTTTCACGGAGAGCAGTCTGAGGTGCATGTGCTTTTCAGCTTGTGCCAAGCAGCAGCTGAAGTAGCTAAGCTGGAATGTTAGGAGTAGTCATGGAAGTTCCTACTGTAGTGCAAGTGACCTCAGCAGCATGTTGAAGGATGCTTCCTTTCCAGAAATCTGTATTTCTGTTGCTTGGAGCTCAGATCACATTAAGTACTGTGGGATCACTGAAGCCTTCAAGCATTGAGTGGAGCAGTCCCACATCACCTTTTCAGTTAGGAACATTGATTCTGTCTCTGGATAACTTACTCAAACTGGAGCGTGCTCTTTGGAGTCATCTACCATGAACGTGAAAAACATCAGAGTAAAGATCACGCATCGGTAGCTGGATTGTTTGTATAGACCAATACCACACTTGTGCACAAGCCCCTTAACAAGAACTTTTTTGCCCCAGTATGCAGATGGATGTGCCAAAGACTGCCAGAACGCATGCTTTGCCTGCATTTGTGAAGCTGAGTATTCCTTTTCAGTTGCTTCTAACTGCTTGGTAGAGTTAGAACAAGCTCCTTTGCTTAAGCAGTTTTCATCAACACATTTTGTTTCTTTCCTTCTTAGAAAGCTTTTACCTTCTTTCCTTCCTAAATTTTGGCCACTGGGCTGACCTTTTTGTTTTTAAAAATATTTTTATGGCATCAGTCTCTCCAATGGACTTTAAATGCTTCATGACTTGTGGTAGAAGAGTATTCCTCTCAAGTGTTCATATGTATTATCTTTATTTTCCAAAAGAAGAACTCCTAAAAAAAAGTGCCCAGACTGCATTTCTTTCAAAAGAATGTGGCGGATAGGACTGCTTCTGGTACCTGAGACAATACTTCATTCGCCAAGTTGGATGGCTTCTCTGCAATTTGTCAGTGTGGATAAGACAAGCCAGGGAACTTGAGGCTTTTCAGTAATTGAGCCCAGAAGAGAGACCTGCCTCCGAGAACCCTTTGGAGTTGGAAACAGGTTGGTTTGAGACGTGATGTCCAATGTGGTCTTCTCCCTTCTGTTCCCAAGAAGGGAAGGTATGCCTTAGCTCAGGATTGGGGCATGCTTAATTTCATTTTTTACTGCATTCAGACATGTGAGGAGACACTTAGCCGCTGCTAAGATAGGCAAGCTTGATCCCAACTGTCTGGATGTTTTGCCTGATCAGGTTGTGAACATGCACATGGGCTTATGCCTCTAAGGGAGTCTCTATCTACTGGTAGGTATCCTTCCTTTGTCCATCAAGCTATCGTTTACTTGCTCATATTCCCTTCCCTCACCTTCTTGATCTTCCAATCCCCATCTCCCTTCCTCCAAGCCTCTACTCCTGTAAGACTGTTGCTAGATACTGGTTTAGAAGGTTTTCATACTAATTTCCATACTTCTGCATGTCTTTTTGTTTGATGTATTGAAAAACAGATCCAGTGCAATGAACAGGCTGCTCGGAATTAATTCTGGTTTTCCCCTTTTAATTTATGCAAATTCTGTTTAGGTCCACAACAAGAGTTACTGCTGTTTGGTGACAGTTCTAAAAGACATTCTTATTTCATTTTGACTCCTATCACTTAGTGCTGTGAAAGACGTTATAGCAACAACCATAAAAGAAAGTGTCCAAGACTCAGCATCACCTGTGGAAGTTCAGTCATTTTTAAGTGGCCACATTTGGAGAATTTGATAGTTAGCATGGTTTATCTATATGCTTTTGCCCTTTGTATGGAGAGGATAATTGTGCGTGATAGGATTTTGTCTGATTGTGAGTCATAATGGTAGATATTGATCATAGTTTTCAAGTACAGGTGGCTATTAATTTAGGTAAAATTGTCCTGTTTAATGCTCTTCTTAGAAACATGTTGGTCTTTAAAAATTATTTAGCATGTCTAGTGGCACGACTCTGCGGTCTCTATGCTATATTTTAGCTGTCATGTTACTGGTATTACTTAGAGGAGCATCAACTGTGATCATGGTTTTAATGATGCTGGTTACAGTTGATGGTAAAATTTTAAACCTTTCATATTAAGTTTGTGGGTGTTGCTGTCCCTTCTTTCAGTAAGAGCTCCCTCTTACCCACTGCAGTGGATGGGAGAATAAGGAAATACATCTCCCTTACAACCAAAGAAAAGCTGCTGTTTTTAGCAACTGACAACTTGGCTTAAAATGCTGTAGGCTTGTCCTGTCCAGTGTTGAGTCACAGGCCTTTCTTTGTGAAACATGATAGCTGTGAATTTTTTAACAACTCAGCCTTTTACATGTGGGAATTTCTGCTGGACTTCGTTGAGTGATGAGCACGTAAAGTTGGAGTTTTGAGGAGGATGCGTTTTCGTGTCCCTCTGGCTGAATGTCTTGGTTGTCTCGCCTCACTGTACCTTTCTGTTGATCTAGAGAGACAAAATTGTTTCTCTGTCTAGCAGGTAGTTCTTCTGACTTGGGGAAAATCACCATCTTTCTCCATTTTTCCATGTCAGAATGCCTTTTGAACAGAAGAAAATCAAGATATGCCTGTGAAACTTGACACAGTGGGAAATCTGCCTGTGCATTCTGTTTCAGTCTTCTCAAGTTGAAACAACACTGAGGTTTATCTGGTGGCAGGGGCAGGAGGTCTGCAATCTGGGAAGCCCTTGTTTAAATCCTCTGCACGCTAAGTTTTTCCTGGCTGATTGTGGACAGGCCATCTGGTGTCTGGCTAGGTGTGTATTATCAGAGATAAGAGCGTGCTGCCTTTGTCTCAGCTCCTATGTAGGAATGAGGTCCCAATCTGTCATTGCTTTTGAGGTTTTTGGGGGCTTTTTTGAAGCTTTGAGCCTGTGGCTTTTCTCCAAAGTACATTATTGAAATATATAATGAATATATGCTAAAGCAGTGGAATATAGAATCATAGAATGGTTTGGGTTGGAAGGGACTTTTGAAGAACATCTAGTCCAACCCCCCTGCCATGGGCAGGGACATCTTCAACTAGATCAGGTTGCTCGAAGCTCCATCCAACCTGACTTTGAACCCTTCCAAGGATGGGGCATCCACAACTTCTCTGGGCAACCTGTGCCAGTGTTTCACCGCCCTCATCATAAAAAATTTCTTCCTTACATCTGGTCTAAACCTACCTTCTTTCAGTTTAAAACCATTGCCCCTTTTCCTATCACTACAGGCCATGGTAAAAAGTCTCTCTCCCTCTTTCTCATAAGCCCCCTTTACATATTTAAAGGCCACTATAAGGTTTCCCCAAAGCCTTCTCTTCTCCAGGCTGAACAACCCCAACTGTCTCAGCCTGTCTTCATAGGAGAGGTGTTCCAGCCCTCTGTTTTTGTGGC